GGGGGAGGCGGCACTGCCCAGGGAAGGCGGAGCACAGACCCTGCCCTGAAAAGTGAACATGTCTCTGACTGGGGGGGTAGGGGGTCCCCAGGTCACAGGGAGGCTGCCTGGGAGGGGAGGCTGGAGGTTGCGACCCAGAGTTCTTCCAGGGACTTCATCTGAAATCTCTGTGGCTGAAATGTCACCCCCTGAAGACGCAGGTGCCCCCTGGTGTGCCCTGTGGCCTCGGCGGTAAAGGTCAAGGGCCCTGGGAGATGCTGGCTGTTGTTTTGTACTCCGTGAGGGGAGCTTGGGACTTGGGGCTCACCATATACACGACACATGACACCAGCCTAATCCATACACATAGACACGTAAGATTGTCCCCTGCCAAGGACGGGTACGGGCGTCTGCCCTCTCTGAGAACACGACCACGCTGGCCCTCTGAACGGGCCTGAACTGCTGGACAAGGTGGAGAAGGGAGACTGAACCTGAACGAAGGGGCTGGGGGCTGGGCCTGGTTACCAAGGGGGCTCTGACTCCTCCCTCTCTCCGTAACCCCAAGTCTGCAAAACCTGCATCGTGCGCTACCTGGAGACCAACAAGTACTGCCCCATGTGTGACGTGCAGGTGCACAAAACCCGGCCGCTGCTGAGCATCAGGTGGGCTGGCGCTGCCCCTCCCGCCCCTGCGAGCCTCCGGTCTGCTCCCCTCTGTCCCTCCCTCCTTGTTCCTGTAGCCCAGGCGGCGGGTGCGGGGTGGGGGGTGGGGGAGCCCCGGGCCTGTTCCCTCCCTCTGGGTTGTCTCCAGCTGAGAAGTAGTGGAGGGTAGCGACCAGGCTCTGAATCTAAGGAAGGGAGGTGCGAAGTGGGATCCCTGGCCGGGGAGATCGGGGTAGGAGGGTTGTTGATCGGGTCCTGTATGTTTTTTTCCAGAGCTGACAAGACCCTCCAAGACATAGTCTACAAATTGGTCCCTGGGCTTTTTAAAGGTATCCACACACCCTCCCTCCTCCTGCCCCCGCCCCCCCTTTCCCAGCCTGTTGCTCCCTCCTCACTCTGTGTCCTTCCCTCCTTCAGATGAGATGAAACGGCGGCGAGATTTCTATGCAGCGTACCCGCTGACGGAAGGTGAGCTCATGTGTGTGCTCCCAGGCCTGGGACCGTGAGTGTGAGTGTGGCTCTGCCCAGGCCTGAGGGCTGGGTGCACTGGGCTGTCCATCCTTCATGCACGACCACGCCATCTCCTTGGCTCAGAGGGTGGCTGGACTCACCCCACTGGGCTCTGAGATTCTGGGCCCTTCGTGGGGCTCCTTTCCCCCACCCTAGGCAGCCCCCCGGTTTTCTCCTTTTGCAGTCCCCAACGGCTCCAATGAGGACCGCGGTGAGGTGCTGGAGCAGGAGAAGGGGGCTCTGAGTGATGATGAGATTGTCAGCCTCTCTATCGAGTTCTACGAAACCGTCAGGCAAGTCTGTCCTAGGCCTGGTCCTTTTGGGGTCCTAGGCTGGGTCGCCCCCTTCTCCCACCCAACCCCACTCCCCTGGAAGGGAGGGCCTGCTGGATGTGTGTCCTGGGGAATCCTGCCTGAACCAGGGTCTCCCTAGCTTCGTTCTACCTCCTCCCCCAGGGACCGGGAGGAGAAGAAGGGCCCCTTGGAGAATGGAGATGGGGACAAGGAGAAGGTGAGTGCTGGGGCCTGCCCAGGAGTGGGATGTGGGCTGGGAGAGAGTGCCCGGATGGCCCATAGCCCTTGGGTGCCTCTCCCCTGGCAGACAGGGGTGCGCTTCCTGCGGTGTCCAGCAGCCATGACCGTCATGCATCTCGCCAAGTTTCTCCGCAACAAGATGGATGTGCCCAGCAAGTACAAGGTGAGTCCCTGGGCCCTTTAAAGAGAGTGAGTGTCTGTGGGCGGGTGTGTCTGACAGTCCGTGCATCCCAGCCATTGTTCAGACCGGGCTGGGTGTCACCAAGGGCCTACCTGGTTGTGTAACTGAGCCCAAGTAGACAGGTAATTGAAACCAAGATTAGGGTGGGGCAGTCTGCATCTGTTGAAACCAGTGTGCAGACTGCATGGGAACCAGGTGGTGTGTGTGTGTGTGTGTGTGTGTGTGTATGTGTGTGAAAACAGGGACTTACTTATCTGGGGCCAGCTGGCTGAAGGAAGGCCAGTCTGAAATTCTAACAGAGGTCCAGGGCATTGCTTCTTAAACTTGAATGTGCCGGTGAGCCCTTAGACTAGAGGTCTTGTTAAAATGCAGCTCGATTCAGTAGAGTCTGCAGTTCTAGCAAGTTCCCAGGTGCTGCCAATGCCCCTGGTCTACAGAGCACACGTTGAGTTTCCGGGGTCTAGGACAGTGGATCCCAAACTTTATGTCAGATTCACGTGGGGAGCTTTAAGACTCAACTCCTATCTTCACAGCTAAACAGAAGCTCTAGGTCAGTGGTTCTCAACCTTGGCTGCACATGAGAATCACCTGGGAATCTTTTCAAAATCCTGATTTCTGGGCCTCATCCTCTGGAAATTCTGTTTCTTTGTTATGGGGTGAGGCCACAACATTAGTAACAAAGAAACAGGATTTCCGGAGGATGAGGCCCAGAAATCAGGATTTTAAAAAGATTCCCAGGCAATTCTCATGTGCAGCCAAGGTTGAGAACCGCTGCTCTAGATGGAAGCATTGGCATGTTTTAAAGCTCCCTGGGTGCGGCCCGTGCTCCGCCAGATCCTGCTCACCTGGGCCTTTTCTCTGCCCGTGGTGTTCGCTCTCCTCCAGGTGGAGGTTCTGTACGAGGACGAGCCGCTGAAGGAATACTACACCCTCATGGACATCGCCTACATCTACCCCTGGCGGCGGGTGAGCAGGGCTGGGAGGGGACCCCTGCAGGTCGGGCATTGGTCTGTGCCCACAGGGACCGCATGAGCCACCCTGCTCTAACCACCGACAGACAGCTCATCTCTCGTCCCATGAGCTGGCCATGCCCAGGGCAGCCCGCCTCGGGCTCTCTCACGGAGCTCCCACACTCCGGAGAAAAGGATCTTTGGGCAGATGACATGCCCCAATTTGGGGTCGGGAAAGGGTCTGGTGGCTGCGGAGGAGTAAATGTTGCTTTCTGCTCGGCCTCCTCTTCTCTCCGGTCTCTGGTCTCACACGTTCTCTCTGGGTCCGGTGCCCGGCTCTCCGGCCTGGCTCTCCCAGTCGCGAGGTCTCGCGTTCCCTCGGTCCTCCTACTCTGCTGGGTCTTTCTCTCTAGGGCTTGAGCTTTTCCTTTCTTCCTCGTTGGGCATGAGGGGGTGAAGGTGGGTGGCTGCCTGGTTAGCCTCCCCCCCCCCCATTCTCCCTGCAGAACGGCCCTCTCCCCCTCAAGTACCGGGTCCAGCCAGCCTGCAAGCGGCTCACCTTGCCTACAGCACCCACCCCCTCCGAGGGCACCAACACCAGTGGGGCATCAGAGTGTGAGTCAGTCAGCGACAAGGCTCCCAGCCCTGCCACCCTGCCGGCCACCTCCTCCTCCCTGCCCAGCCCAGCCACCCCCTCCCATGGCTCTCCCAGCTCCCATGGGCCCCCAGCCACCCATCCTACCTCCCCCACTCCCCCTTCAGCAGCCAGTGGGGTCAGCACAGCTACCAACGGGGGCGCCTCGAACTGCCTGCAGACACCATCCTCCACCAGCAGGGGGCGCAAGATGACTGTCAATGGAGCTCCTGTGCCCCCCTTAACTTGAGGAAAGGGACCTTTCCCTCCTTTTCCAGCCATGGCTCTCCACCCCTCCACTTTTTCTGGGCTCCTGTTTCCACCTCTTCTACTTTCCCCAGCTCCTCCCACCTTAGGGGTGGGGGGTGGGTTTTATAAATAAATCTCTCTCTATATATATATGTACATAGGAAAAACCAAATATACATACTTATTTTCTATGGACCAACCAGATTAATTTAAATGCCACAGGAAACAAACTTTATGTGTGTGTGTATGTGTAGGGGATGGGTGTTAATTTTGAAGGGGTCTTGTGTAATTTGCTCTACTCTATTTTTGGGGGTACCTGAGAGTGGACTGGAGGGGCCACTTGAGGCTCCGTAAAGCTTTGCCCCATCCTCCTTCTGTTTCCCAAGGCAGATGGGGTGTTGCAGGGCCCACCAGCCCCCAAAGCTTTAGGCACAACTCTTAACTGGCTGTGGATGGGTCCACCCTCTCTCTCTCTCCATCTTGGCTGCTGTCGTGCCCCGACCCATCGCTAAGACAGTGCCTTTTACAAATGCAGTTTATCCCCTGGTTTTGGGGAGCGAGTGGGTGGTGGAGATGGTATCTCCCTTACCTCCTCCTCATGCAGTGGAAACTTTGTGCAAAGCGTAGCTAGTTCTGCCCTTTGTTGTTTTTTTCCTGTGTGTGTGTGTGTGTGTGTGTGGCCTTTGCACCGTTTTCCTTGTGGAAGAGAAGATTCGGGCCATGGGAGGCCTCCGCCCTTGACATCCCACTGTGGCTCTAGCATTGTGAACCACTTCAGCCCCGGGTCCCCCGACCCCCACCCAGGCACCCACATCAGCCAGTCTGGTGGTAGAGTCTCACTTGGGGACCTGAAGTGGGGTTAACCTCGGACAAGCACAGACCCCAGATTTCGCTAAAGGCAAACAGCCCTCCAGTCCTCTCCCCACCCCCAGCTGAGGCCCAGTCAGGAAAGAGCCAGGGGCATCTGAAAGCACAAGACAGACACCTGTAAGCTCTGTCCTCAACTCCATCCTGAGAGGTCAGTGGACCACCCCTGAGGGGCAGGCCCCGGGAGCTCCCTGCCTTCCTGTTTTCTTCCAGTGTACATAGGTCAGATCGGGGAGGAGGCACGACTCTGTCACAACCTAGGTGTCTGGGTTGGGTCCCCCCAGTGGGTTTGTCTGTGTTTGCACCTGGTCCGTTGTCTGAGGTGCTATGACTGTACCCTCCTCCTACCCTGGGACATTTGCATCTCCTGGCTTTGTAATAAATGCTGCATATTCTCCAGAGCCTCTAGTTCTTTGGGGCAGAGGGGACAGGGAGAGGATGGGTGGGTCCCCTGGCCTCCTCGTACCTCTCGTCTCTAGGCTCAGCCTGCCTTGGGAGACCCCATATGGAATAAACCAGAATGGCCTCTCTCCTGTGGCCGGTCTGGTGCCCCCAGACCAGGGTTAGGAGCCAGAGCAGGGGTATGCCCCGTGCTCCCCCCCCCCCACAGTGACCACAAGAATACCATTCTGGATGGGCAGGCTTGTTTAATGCCACCTTCTCCACCAGCAGGTGCTAATCCAGGGACCTGCTCCTGGCTGCCCCAGGTTAGAGACGTCAGGCTATGGGAGCAAGTCCTTTATAAACCAGCAGGGTACTGGGGTCCCTGGATGATCACTTCTTGGCTCGGCACACCCTTTCCTTCCCCACAAAGGGGGTGCCTGTCAGAGAGGCCTGGGGCTGATGAGCAGCCGCCCCTCAGAGTGGGGAGCCCACTTCTGCCTTCTGCACCCTCTCGCTCCTGTGGGTGCCATCGCAGTATGGGGGCTTCTGAGTGGCCTTGCAGGTACATAGGGCCACCATTCGGGTCTCCTGGGCTTTGAACTTGAGTGGGGAGAGGCCAGTGCGTTGGAAGAAGTGGGAGCCGTCACAGAAGGGCTGGTGAGGGAAAGCGAGAGTTAAAGAGCGCTGGCCCCACCTCTGGGGTGGGCAGGTCTGGGAGGAGCAGGGCACCGTGGTTAGGGCTCCCGCTCCCGAGTGACACTAGTTTACCTCTCATTTGTAGTGTGAGGAGAAGAGTTGAGTGTCTTAAGGAAATCATAATCATTTATTATGCACTTTGCATACAATAAGTGTTCAGTAAGTTTGAGTCATTACAGCATTAGTCTCTAGGGCACAAGGACAGAATTTCCAAGGTGAAATGGGCCTTAGGTTTTACACCAATAGTTTTTATTTTTTTAATGGCCCAGTCTCCACTGCCCATGAAATTCATTTCTTTCCCCATCCTGGTAAAAACGGGGTTGGAGAGGGCCTGCACGCATCACAGGGCTTTAAGGCAGACTGGGGTATCAATATTTTGGCTCCAGCCCCCATTCTCCCTGCAGATAGGGAGTGGGTGTACCAGGGAGGAAGCGGGTGTCCTATAGTGAACTGGCTGCCTGGTGCCAGCAGATACTCCTCGTCCATCCCAGCAGGGGCTCGAGCAGAACCGGTAACGGAAACCGAGGCCCATGGAGGTGCTCCGACTTGCTGCTAGTTAGTGGGCCTCTTGACTTTGGGGTCAGGGTGGGGTCGGAGGAAGCTAGCCACTCTCCAGCTGAAGTTCCCTTAGTCCTGCTCCCCCCTCATGAGGACCTGCTCCAAATCGATCAGTGGCCAAGCAGGGCTTGGAGAAACAGCTCAGAGCTCAGCACCGGGAGGAAAGGGGCCCTGGAGGCTGAAAATACTGGAGCAGGTTCCCGCTGGATGAAAGGCTCCCGGGGCGAAGGGAGCAGGCAGCCAGGCTGCGCCCGCCGGCAACCAGGAAAGTCATAAACAGAAAGGGAAGGGTTTTCAGAAGACTGGGAAGGGGCACTGGGGGGCAGCGAAACTGGGCAGTCTTCCCAACGATGGAGTCCCAGGCTGGGAACCTTTGGCCCAGATGCTTCTTAGGAGCAAAGAGAGAGGAAGAGAGACAGGCAAGCCCCTCTGAGAAGAGGTCAATGTGTGTGTGTGGGGGGGGGATGGGACATGCAATACCTTCAACAATAAAGATTTCTTAAATCTAAAATAAAAATAAATAAATGAGATTTAAAACCACAGAAACCAGAACCCTGGGTTCCACCTGCATCTCAGGACTCATCTCAAAGGGTTGATACAGACAGAGCTCAAGGCTATGGGTGCGCCAGCCTGAGTATTTTTTTTCTGGAGAGGGAGGTCTCAGACACACCCTGCTTTCCCAGCCAGGGGTGTCGGATGTCAATGGGAGGGGGTAGGGTCTCTCACCTGCTTCTTGCTGCGGCCACACACACACCACCTGTAGGTTTTCCCTGCCACTAGCTCCACCTTGATGGGTGTTTTCAGGGCCACCACAGGCTTGGCTGGGGTTTTGGGGAACCATTTGGCCTGTGGCAGGGAAGATGAGGGGCTTGGGGTCAGCCCAGGTCCTGGAAGCACTTTGGTCCTATGGCGGCCTGTGTCCACTGGCCTGGCTTGTGGCAGGCTTCCTCTGGGGTGACACCCAGCAAGGACATTCCTGCCCCCCCAACCCCGCCTACCCGCCCCCCTCAAGACACACTAAGTACCCCGAGCTCCAGATAGGCATGCAGGTTTGGAGACCCAGCTGCTTTCTCTCAAAACCCTGGCTCCACCTGGTGCTAGGGAGGGGAGGGCGGGGCTCCTGCCAGCCTAAGCCGGCCAACGGCACCTGGGGCTGGGTTTATCAGGCATGGCTGGCTCCCTGCCCTGTGCCCTCTGGTCCAGCCTGCCTCCCCTGAGTCATCAGGAGGTGGCTACAGGCAAGGCAACCGCAGGCTGGAGCCTAGAAAGAAGGGCTGACCCTTCCTGGTTCCCTTCGCTGGTCTCTCCCTGGGGGGCCCGGGGAACTTGGGCAGAGAGAAGGGGAAACGGGGGGTGGGGGGAGATGTCACTTACCAGCCAGGAGGAGATGTCACGCCTCTGGTTCAGCTTCTGCAAGGCGCGCAGTCATCACAATACCGTGATTTGGAAACAGAAAAAATAGTCAATGGAAAGCGGAGGGCGTCCGGAGAGGAGTCATCTGGGGAGGAAGAGATGACCGCTTCTGGGTGGAGGAGAGGTGCGAGGGTAAGAGAATGGGATCACAGGAC